AAACTCTTTGTACAAAAATTTATTAGTATGTACTGAGCGTTTTGTGAAAAGCGTTACCTATTATTTATTTTTACTTATTAAACTTTATTCTTGCCTTTCGGCTTTTGATGGCTTCCGGTTACATTACACTTTACATTTTTTACATTTTACATTTTTACATCTTTTTATCTTTACATTTGCCCGAAATAACTTTCATTTTCATTTTAATATATTAACATTTTAACATATATAATATAATATAATATAATATAATATATTATAATATATATATATATAACGCATTAATATAGTAATATTGTAATATAGTAATCTATTAACCTTTTAGCGTCTTGGATATTTTCTACTTGTAACTTCTTTTAGTATCTTTTAACATATTAACATTCTAAATAATAATTAAATAATAATTAATTTCACATTTATCATTCTAAATAATAATAATAATATTGCTAATACTTTTAACCAACTAATACATATATATGTTATGTTATCACTGTTCTTATTCCTAATATTGCTTTTCCCCTTTCTCGTCACTCACAGTTCGTACTGTCTTTGCATTTAATATCACTCTGTTTATCTCTGTTTCTTTGGTATTCTTCTTTCTTCTTTCTTTTCTCTTCTTTCCTCCCCTTTTATCTCTTTCTTATCTTCTATTTCTTTTTCTTTTCTTATTTCATCTATTCTCCTCATTACTTCACAGTCTTTCCCATCTTCACTTAAAAACTCTTCTTCTGATATTTCTTCTTTCTTTTTTTCGCAATTCTTCAATACATGTGTTATGTCCTCTATTTCGATGTTATGTCCGCATATTCTGCACATCCTTTCCTCCTTTGTTAGCCAGTGTTGGTTCCCTTTCATTTCGTTCCCGCATCTGTATCTTGCTATCCTTGTTCTTTCTTTCTTACTTTTCTTTCCTCTTAAGTATGCCGGTACTGCTTCTGTTATTGCTTTTTTGTAGCTGACGTTGTACCTCGATTTCTCCATCTTTTTCCTTCTTTCCTCCTTATCTTTCTTTTTTATTTTCTCTACTATTTTTTACACTATCTCTACTATTTCTTGCACTATCTCCTCCCTCTCTCTCTTCTCTTTCAACTTCTCTTTGCTAATACCCACGTCTTTCATCACCTCTTTTCTCCATTTCTCCCACCTACTTTCTCTTCTCCTCTTTTTTCCCCTCTCTCTATTTCTTTCATGCACTCTATTACTAACTTTTTTTCGATTGCCGTGCCTCCTCTTCATATTTCACCGCTCTTTGTATGGCCTCCAGTCTTAGTTCCTTCATTTTTGTCTTTTCTTTTACAATATAATTCGGCGTTCTTCTATCCAATCCCAGTATCCACTTTATGTATTTTCTCGTCACTTTATTCAATCTTTTTTCCTTCTTCCACCCCCGTATTTCTGCGCCATATAATGCCACACTACCCACCAACGCGTTGTATATATATATTAGCTTTATTTGGTACGGCCCAACCGGCCTTGTTTCCAAGACTTGGTTTACAATTTTCTTAACCGCACTCTTATACGTCATTCATCCAACCACTCTCTCTCCTCTCTTTTTTTCCCTCAGCTCTCCTATCCTCCTCATCCATCTTACCGCTTCCATTTTCCCTTCCTCACCTAGAATATCCTCTGCTCTCATTCTCATTTCTTTTTNAAGATGTCCGTTTAAATGCTCTATTCCATCCTCCTCTTTCCCACATAATTTGCATCTCCTACTTTCTCCTTCCAACCAAAACTTGTTTCTCCCTTCCTCATTACCGCATCTCCATCTAGCAATTGTCTTTTGACTTCCTTTCTCTCCCCTTCTCCTCAAATACCCCGGTCTTCCTAACGCCGCTATACCTTTATACCTCACATTATACTTTGACTCTCTTATTTTATTATCCAACCATTGACCTAATCTCTCTCGTTCTCTTCTTCTTATACTATCTACTACATTCCTTCCTCCTTCCCTTAATAATCTAATTCCTTCAGAGCTATACCCATTCTGCCTAAAAAACTTCTCTCTTTCTTCCGCTACCGCGCTCTTCATTCCTTCCCTTTCTTTCTCCTTAATACATTCCACCACTAATCTTCTTTTTCCGTCTTTTAATACTTTCTCTTCATAATTGACTGCCCTCTTTCCTGCTATCTCCCTAATTCTTTTTTACGTCCGCTTCCCTATACACTATATAGTCCGGTGTGCAGGAGTCAAGGTTCAAAACCCACTTTATATATTTTCTCTGGATCTTTTCCAACTCTTCTCTTTCTTTCCACCCCNATATCTCCGCCCCGTACATCATAACACCCCTAACTAAATAGTTGAATAACATCATTCTTTTCCCAAAATCATCTCCAAATCTGCGTTCACCTATTCCCCATACCACATTCAATACTACATTAGCTTTCTTTCTCAGATCCTTGACCTGACTTTCCTCTCCTCCATTCTTCTTCAGCACGAAACCCAAAAATACTTCACTTCTGCCACTTCTTCTACTTCCTTTCCTTCCCACTTCCATTTGATCTTCCGTCTTCTTCCTCTCTTCTCAAAGCATATCATTTTTGACTTTTCTATATTTAACTGTAGCTTCTTACCCCTCAGATATCTCTCCATTTTCTTTAACATCTCCTTCATTCCTTCCTCGCTTTTTGCCATAATTACTAGGTCGTCTGCATACGCCAAAGTCCATATTCTTTCCTTTCCTATTCTTATACCTCCAATTTGCCCCTTTTTCATTTCTTCCTCCACATCCGCTATCAGCAACGTGAACAATATCGGACTAAGTGGGCACCCCTGCCTCACCCCCGCCTCCGTCCAAAACCAGCCTGATTTCTCCTCATGGACCCTTACCGCATTTTTCGTGCTTTTATAGATTTCTTTCACTCTCTCTCTATCAGTCCTCTTCTTACTCCTCTTTTTTCCATAGCCTCCCACAACATCCTTCTATCTACCTTATCGAAAGCTGCCTTCAGGTCCATGAAGAAACCGTATATCTTTCCTCCTTTCTTTCCCAGTTCTTTCTTGATAGCATGTTGCAAGACGTAGACGTTGTCCACAGTGCTCCTTCTTATGCGGAATCCTGCCTGCGTTTCCGGTAACAGTCCTTCTTCCTCTATTTGCTGTTTCAGCTTCTCTGCTAGTACCGCTGCGTATATCTTATACGCTGTGCACAGCAAAGTGACTCCTCTATAATTTGCCACTTCCTCCGTATCTCCCTTCTTGAATATTGGTGCAATTATTCCTATTCTCCAATCCTCTGGGAAGCCCTCTCCTTTCCACACCTTCCTAATTATCTCTTTCAGCTTTCTCCTTACTTGTCCTTCGCTATATATCCAAGCTTCATTTCCAATTTTATCTGCTCCAGCTGCCTTCTTTTTCTTCAATCTGCCCATCTGTCGTTCTATTTTCTCCTCTGTTATTTCATTCTCTTCGTCGTTCTCCAATCTCCTTTTCTCCGCCTTTTCTCTTCTATCCTTCTTGCATCCCTGCAGTAATTGACAGAAATGCTTCTCCCACTTCTCAATATCTATGCTCTCCACTAGCTGCGTTCTTTTTCTCCTTTCCCTATTTACTATCTTCCATACCTGCGCCTCTGTCTTTATGTTTTTAACCTCCTCTTCCAGCTTCTCCCATCTCCTCCTCTCTTTCCTTTTGCATAGCTCTCTGAACTGTCTCCTTCTCTCCAGTTACTTTTTCTTCTTCTCTTTTCCTTTTCTCCATTCTCTGTATGTCTTTTTTACTTCTCTCTTCATTGTTTTGCACTCTTCATCCCACCAAACTTTCTCTCCTATCTTTTTCTCCTTCACTTTAACCCTTTTTTTGCAAATACATTCTTCTACACTTACTTTCATGTTTTTTCCACATCTCTTCTACCTCCTCTCCATCTATCTTCTTTCTTCTTTCTTTATCTCTATATTCTTCTATGCTGTTCTCATCCCATTTTACCACTGTTCTAAACCTTTTTATCTTTTTTCCTCTTACTCCCTTGTTTTCTCCTTCCATGTCTACTTCCAGTGGTTGATGGTCCGATTCCGTCCTCTCTCCTACCTTCATCTTTTCCAGCTTGTCCCATGCTTCTTGATTGACTATGACATAATCAACCACTGATTCCCCTCTGCCTCCTGTGTACGTCCATTCCCTTGATTCGTCCCCCTTTATGTTTCCGTTTACTATTTCCCAACCTCTATCCTCTATTAGAGCTAACAATTCCTTACCTTCTCTATTCATCCCTTTATCTCTCGTACTTCTTCTTACTTCTTTGCCGTTCTCCTCCTCCCATCTCCTTCCCCCTCCTCCTATTCTAGCATTAAAATCTCCTCCTATACACAGAATTTCTTCCCTTCTATCTCCCACCCATTTTTCTAGCTCCCTTCTTTTATCCTTCATTCCCTCTCCGTTATATACCGTTACAATTCTCCATATTTTCCCCTCTACTCTCAACCTTCTCTCCTGCACTCCGTTTACATCTTTACTCTTATTATCTACGCTATCTACACTGTCTATTTCCTCTATTCCTCTTCTTACTCCTGTGATTATTCCTCCTTTTGCTCGCCCCTTCTTCTTTTCTCGTATTGCATGTTGGCTTTTCCAAATAAACTCTTTCGGTAACTCTTTTTTTTTCTTCTCCCAGTCTCTTTCTTCCAACCACGTCTCGCATAATCCTATTACATCGAATTTTTCCAGATACGTCCAGAATTCTTTTTCTTTTTTCCTTAAACCTGCTATGTTCCAAAAAACCATCTTTATACCTTTTCTCTTTGTTTCAACTTTACCTCTCTTTTTTTCTTTTCTTCTTCTCCTCTTCATCTCTCTCTTCTTCTCTCTCTAATTTCTCTTTTCTCTGATCCCTAAAAAATTCTTTCTCTCCACAATCTCTTGCCTCTCTTCATTCCATACAAAGTGTTTCCCTTGAATCTCTATTTTCTTGTATCCTACTTTTACTGTTTTTCCCTCCATCCTTTCCTTTCTTGCCCTTTCTCTAAGTTTCCTCTGTATTTGTCTTTCTTCTACTGTTAGGTCACTATCAATAAATATCTTTCTGTTTCCTAGCTTCTTTTTCTCTTTTATCACCTTTTCCTTTGTTTCCCATTGGTCCATTTCCACTATCACCGCCTCTCTTTCCCCCTTTCCTACTACATAGCTTCTCTTTATCTTCTCTCCTACTCCGAATTCTTGCTCTAAAAATTCTTCTGCCACTTTTTCCATGCACCTGTTCTCTTTTTTTAGACCTCTTATTACTATATTGTTTCTTCTTTCTTTTCTTTCTCTCTCTTCTATAATTTTCTTCATCTCTCTCATTTCCTTCTTTATCTCTTCTTTCGCTTTTGCTTCTTGTTCCTCTATCTAATCTTTTTCCTTCCTTACTGTCTTTTACTTCTTTACTCTCCTTCATTTCTTTCCCTTCTATCCGCTGTTCCATCCTCTTCAGACTTATTTTTATCGTGTCAACTCTTTCTTCCATTTTTTCCTTTCTTTTCCTCCACCTCTCTTCTTTCTTATTCATCTCTTCCTTCATCTTCTTGATTTCCCCTCTCATCGCTTTCATTTCCTCTTTTATCTCCCTCAATAAAGTGACCATCGCTCCTTCTTCTTTTCTATCTTCCATCATGTTTCCTCTCTTCACCTCCTCTTCCTGCTTCTTTTCCGCCGGCGCACTCTTTACTTTATTGCTTCTTTTTAATATATCTAGATCTAGTCCTATCTCTTTTTCTTGCTCATCTCTCTTTCTTTTTATTGTGCTTATTTCACAATCCATATCTCCTTTTTTATTCATAAACTCTATTATACTCAACAAACTTGATCTTTCTCTTTTCTTCCTTTCTTCTATTTCTCTCCTTCCTCTTCCTTTCTTTTCTCCTCTCGGTGTAAAAAATATTTCTCCTTCCTTATGTTCTCTCCTTCTTTCATCTTCTTCACATTCATTCGTCTTATCTACACTTTCACGCTCTTTCTCTTCTTCCATTGCTCTCTTTATCCTGCTGCTCCCTACCTTACCTACTTATCCTATCTTATCCTACCGTTACTCTACCTAGTATTTTATCCTCTCGCTTGACGCCGCTCTCCTCGCCTCCTATCCTTTCTTCCCACCTAATCCTACCTAACCTCTTCCTTTTCTTACTCTTAGTTGTCTCACTTTTTCACCTTTTCCCTTGATTCTCTATATTGTTCTTATTTTTACTCTTTTTCGCAGACCTCACCTCTCTCTTATTCTCCTGTTTTTTTTCCGCTCGCTCTTATCTAAATACCCTCTAAACTATCTTTCACTCTCCTTGCCTCTCTCACACATGCACACCACTCTCACGCCACTAACCAAGTCCCCACCAACGCGTTGTACATCTTCATCCTTCTTCTGTAGTCCTCTTTGAATAGTCTTTCCTCGATGCTCCACGTCTGCTTCATCGCGATCACCGCTCTTCTCATTCTTTCCTCCACATGTTTCTCTGCTCCTCCGTTTTTTTGTAGTATGTATCCTAAATACCTTATTTCCTTTACCTCTTTTATCCTTTCTTCTCTCCAGTTCCACTTTCTCGTCCTTTTTTTCCCCTTTCCTCTCTCAAACACCATCACTTTTGACTTTTCTGAGCTTAAAATCATTCCTTTTCTTTTTAAATACTTCCTGAATTTTCTCATCATGTTCTTCAGTTCCTGTTCGCTTCTTGCCAGCAGCACAATGTCATTCGCGTAAGTAATCGTCCAGACTTTTTCTTTACTTATTGTAACTCCACCAAATTGCTCTTTTCTCATTTCTGCTTCCAAAACCATCATATACACGTTGAACAGTGTTGGACTTATAGGACATCCCTGTCTAATTCCACTTCTCGTCCAGAACTCCTCCGACTTTCCTTTTCCTACTTTCACTTTGTTTTTTGTTTCTTTATAGATCTCCATGATTCTTTTTCTTAACTGTCCTCCAACCGTCGCCTTTTTCAGCATTTCTTTTAGTTTAACCCTATCCACCTTGTCAAACGCTGCTTTTAGATCAGCGAAAAATGCGAAGATCTTTCCTTTCTTTTTTGCTATTTCTTTGTTTACTATGAAATTCAGGACGTAAATTGCGTCCGTCGTACTTTTTCCAGCCCTGAAACTGTCCTTCTTCTAATTTTTTCTCTACTTCCCTCTTCAATCTTTCATTTAGGATGTTTGCATATATCTTGTACGCCGTATCCATCAGGGTCACCCCTCTGTAGTTTTTTACTTCGCTTTTCTCTCCTTTTTTGAATATGGGGCTAATTATCCCTCTATTCCACTCTTCTGGTATTCCTCCTTCCCTCCATATCTTCCTTATCAATTTTAGAAATACTTTGCCTATTCTCTCTGGCATTAGCCTCCACGCTTCATTCTCTATTCCATTTTCTTCTGGTGCCTTTCCTTTCTTCAGCTTTCTTAGTTGCTTCACTAGTTCTTCCTTTGTTATTTCTTCTATCTCCTCATTACTCTTTCCTCTCCTGTTCTCTTCTTCTCGTTCCTCTTCTTCTTCCATTACCACCCTTTCCTTTGTTCCCCTTAGTAGCTCCATGAAATGTTCGTTCCAGCTGTGTGCAACTCTATCCCTTCATCTACTCTTTCTCTCTTCTTTCTGTATTTATTTATATACCTCCACGCTTCTTCTTCTTCTGTCTTTATGAATCTTATTTTTTCTTCCTCTTCCTCTTTGTGTTTTTTTGTCTCTCCTTCACACCATTTTCTATACTCCTTCCTCTTTCTTACATACTTCTCTCTTTTTATCTTATCTTTCTTCAATTTTCTTAGTTCCCTTTTTAACTCTCTTTTTTCTTTTTCCATTCTTTGCTGTGCCATTCCTTTCTTCCTAACCTCCATGGCGTTACCTTTTTCGTGACCTTCATTATTGATTCTTTAACTTTATTTTTTATTGCTGACCACATCTCCTCTGTATTTGTCTCCGTGCACGTCCACCCCTCACATTCTTCATGATAATGCTCTATTCTTTCTACCGACCATACGCTCCTTTCCACCTCCACACAGCCACTTTCTTTTATTCTTCTTCTTATTCCTTTTATTTCTACTTCCATTGGAACATGGTCCGATTCTATTCTGCTTCCTTTCTCCATCTTTCTGACCTTTTCTATAGCCTTTTCATTCGTTACCATATAGTCTATTACCGATGATCCTTGTTCTCCTATGTATGTCCATTCCCCTTGCTTTTCATTACTTCCGTTAAGTATCGTCCACCCTCTTTCTTTCAGCTTGTTTACCAGTATTCTCCCTTCTCTGTTAACCACCTTGTCTCTTGACCTTCTTGTTTCCTCTTTCTCCTTTTTTCCGTATCCTATTGGTCCACCTTCTTCCCCGGTTCTAGCGTTAAAGTCTCCTCCTAACATTAAATACCCTTTCTTGTCTTCCCCTATTACCTCCATCAGGCTGTCCATTGTTTCTTCTATATTTTGACTTTACAGAGTAATTATCCTCCACTTTTTTCTGTTATATACTATGCTTATCTCCATTGCTCCTTTGTTTATTTCTTTTACATTTACTTCCCTCAATTCCTTGCTAGTTGCCACGATTATCCCTCCTTTGGCTCTTCCTTTCACGCACTTCCTTGTCGCCGGTATGCAATGCCACTTGTATTTGTTTGGCACTTTCATTATCATTTTCTTCTACGTTTCTTCCTCTATCCAAGTCTGTATCAGACCTACAATATCAAAGTTTTCCAGGTACTCCCATGTTTCCTCACATTTGTTTACCAATCCTGCAATATTCCAAAAACATATTTTTAGTCCTTCCTCTTTGTCCTCCTCCTTCTCCCTCTCCTGTTTCTCCCATCCTCAATCTCTTTTTTCACTTCTTGTTTCTTCCAATCTTCCTACTTTCTCATTCCATCTGTACCACTTCTCTTTTATTTTAATTTTCATGTAACCTACTTTCACTTTATCATCTCCTTTCTTTGCTATTCTTCTCGGTCTCTTCTGTATCTCTCTTTCCTTTCTTGTTAAATTGTCTTCTATTATGATTCCTTTGTCTAATCCTTTTTTCTTAATCATGATTTCTCTTTTTTGCTCCCATTTATCTATCTCTGCAATTAATATGTTTTTACTTTCATTTATTTTGATCTTGCTTACCTTATTTACTGCCACTTCTATCTTAAAGCTATCTTCTATAAATTCTTTCACTTCCTGTTCTAGCCTTTCCATTTTATCTTCTCTTCACTTCACTCCTTTTATAACTACATTGTTCTTCCTTTCTCTTCTCTTTTTTCTTTTATTGGTCCATTCCAGTTCCCCTATTCTCTTCTCTAGTAACTCTTTTTCTTGTCTCCACTCCTCTCTCTCCTTTCTTCTTTCTTCTTCTCTTGTCCTTCTTTCTTCTATCATCTGTTCCTTCATTCTTTCCATTTCTTCCCTCATTTTTTTCCTCATCTCCTCTATTTCTATTATTATTCTCTCAAATCCTTTCCTCCATATATCGTCACCGCCGGTGACATAATTTTCTAGTGACTTTTTGTCTCCTCTGTTTTTACTCCTGCTTCCCGCCTGCTTTCTCGCTATCGGCGCCACTGCTGTTTCCCTTTTCTTCCTCTTTCTCCCGTCTTTTCTCGCTTCTACTTAACCTTTCTTCTCTTTATGTTTTTTCGCCCTAAAAAACTCTGCTCTCCTTTTGTTGCTCCCTGTGCCTTTTTTTCCTCGTCTTCTCTCGCCCTTCCTTTCTCTTCTCGTTACCACTCTTCCCACTAAAAACTCGCTACTTTCTTACTTACTTTATACTTTCTTTCTTACTTTATATCTCACTTTTTCTACTCGTTGCTGTGTATGCCCTTGTGTCTTTCTCGCTAGCTCCATCGGAAGTCTCTGAAAAGCGTTACCTTAGCATTGTAAAATGTTTAAAAAACATTATATGTAGCGTATGATAAGCGTTCCAAAAGAGTTCAAACATTTTGGCGTTATATAAGCATTCTTATAAAGTTTGAAAGCGTATAAACTCTCAGAAAATTCTCATCAAACGGTTATCAACGCTTTGTAAAGCTTCTTATTTTTGTCAGAAAACAAGTAGTTTATTCGGCAATTTTGTATAAACAGAAGCATTAAAATCTTATAGTTAAACTTCTCCGGTTTCGACATAAGTTAAAGGTTATTGCCTTTATAAACACGGACTACGTTTACACGCACTGGTAAAAACGTTTTAGCAAAAACCGGTTTAGTAAATCTTGTTCTATGGTGCCTGTTTACACGATCAGGCGTATTTTACCTGTACCAAGACCAAGTAGCTTTATTAAACCCGAACAAACTCTATTGCCAACATAAAAGATTTGGCGCTTAAAACTGTTTTTTGTAGAACATTCCGTAACTAGTAACAAATAGAAGAAGTTACGTTTTGCGATTGTAAAATTTACAAAAATGGAAATTATTAACAACTTGTTTAAAATATATTTTGTTTGCATCTGTTCGTGGGTTTTTATATATCTATTTTCGTACATGGGCTTTTCCAGCAATTTGAATATTTTGATCCTTCGAAATTTTTTTCCATTCAAACATTTCATCATTTATCGCTCTCTCATTAAATTTAGGAAAAATCGTGTTTCTTCATTTTCCCATTGATCTCGTTTTTTACAGAATAATCCATTATCCTCAGAATAATCCATTTTGAAGCGATGCTGTATGAGATCGATATTTCGTCAAATTCCGTATTCTATGTACTTTCTTACAAATGTTTAAAGTTGGTAATATCGCATTTTGATATGTTAAAACCATTGAAAACTGTTTACACGTCTTTCTTAAAACGGTTTACTAACGCCAAACCTTT